AAAGAAATGAGCTCCGACTAGGGGTCCTCTGGAAGAGAGGAGAAAACCGAAAGGCTTTTTTTTTTTTTTTTTTTTTTTTGTTGCACACTGTCTATCTAGGTTTTCAACTTTGAAGAGAGTCAATATTTTGAGGTCAAGTCTTCCCGTCTGGTTTTGTCGATATCCCGTACGGTGTGCCACTGTGCCCCTATGTGGGCGCAAAGTATTCTCATTCTGATAAGTGTGGGGCTCATAGTACCGTTGATTGTGTTCTCTGCCAGTTGAGTCCGTCTGCTATTCACTTCATTGAAAATCTCACATTATGCAGCCTGGTTAGGACTGTGCTCCCACCTCACGCCCTCAAGGCTGAAACTCACAGGTGGTTTGACATTATGAGCGGACATGCACTTTGACTTGTTTACACAGCTGCCACACGCGTCTATCACTACCATCTTCACCCAAAAGGTACTGAATAATGCCCGAATGGCACTATACGCTATAGCCAGTTTGGCTCATAGTGTAACCAGGAAGCAACTTCCTTTCCAATTGCGTGTTTTTTTGGCACCCAACTTTAGGTTTCTTGGCCGTCCAAATCATGCGGGCGCCCACGCAGCCCCGGTTTTCCACTCGCATTTTCAGGCGCACCATCGATAGCAAGCGGAAAACCTGCTGGTTTTGCAGAACAGCAACAACATCCCGTCGCGATGAGTCACAAAATGGCAATACACCCGACTTGAAGAACCTTCATGGAATCTAGTAGGTGTAGTAGGCGTAGTAGCTAGACAAAAACCCATGCTTACTTGCAATTGAGGTTAGGTCTCAGGCACAATGGAAAGTCGTGCTTGAGATATTGGACCCGATGTGAAGAACCTTCATGGAACCTAGTAGGTGTAGTAGGTGTAGTAGATAGACAAAAACCCATGCTTCCTTGCAATTGAGGTTAGGTTTAAGGTAAAACTAAGAGTCGTGCTTGAGATAAAAGTTTCACAGAATCTTCGTCAAAACCATCAACGTGGTCGCATTGCAAGAGCTGTGAAGTTCTTCAAGGACAAGCCTCTGAGCCTGGGAACAAGTTTTTGAACTTTTTTCCATATTCTGCGAGTGCTCGTGTGTCCCATGGTCCACTGTTGAAACATCACAGAAGCACGATGAACACCAGAAAAAGGAAATTACTGCTCTCTTCAGTTCAAACGTTTTTGCACGCCATTCTAAAACTCGAGGGATCAGGTCTCCTCCACCGAAAAAAAAAAAAGAGAAAAAAAAAAAGGTCAGAGCTTACATGAGATCGACCACCCTCCGAATATCTTTCTTATTGTCCTCAACAGCTGTGTCCACATCATTCGCTGCTTTGTACATTTCATTCATTGCGTCCATAACCTTCACTTGATCAGCACTGGTCATTTGCGCACCAGCAATAGAGAAATTTGTCATTGAAACCAGGTCATCGGCGGCCAAGCGGACCTACGCGTGAGACGGAAAAAAAAAGGAGCAATTCAGCGCCCACCCACAGACCCAACAAATATGAAACACAGGTCATTTGCGCCATGCACAACAGATGACAAAGGAAAGATAGAACCCAGAAAAACAATCCAGCACGACAGTATCCGTAGACAAACAAAATATCAAGCTGTCAGATGTGGAGCTTCCATGTCACATTTCGCTTAATAGTGATTCAAATTCATTCGATACATATCTTTGTGGTTTATGCCTGGCATTGCAATGAAAAGCTCGTATGAGTAAAAAACAAACCAGCACGACAGCATCCGTAGACAATACAAAATATCAAGCTGTCAGATGTGGAGCTTCCATGTCCCATTTGGCTTTATACTAGTTTATAGGGATTTGAATCATTTGATCATATCTTTGTGGTTTATGCCTGGCATTGCAATGAAAAACTCGTGCGAATCGGTGCTTTGCACCTTTGATACATATCTCCGTGGTTTATGGCTGGCATTGGCACCTTTGATACGTATCTTTGTGATTTACGGCTGGCATTGCAACGAAAAGCACTTGCGAACCTGTGCTTTTTTTTGCACCTCTATTATGTGAACTTGTCCTTCACAACCTTGACAAACTCATATCTTCCACCCTCAACAAAGCCAAACACGTCACGGAAACTCCCGATCATGTTCAATAGAAGCTTGTGTCACTGCAATAACCTTGTCATGAAGGCCATACTCCCACAAAGACTTTCCTTGATGTATCTCACCGCTGTTAGGGTCAGTCCTAGATGCATCTGACAGCAATCACATCCGCAGATAAGTTGAAAAAGTCCTTGTGTACGTACACACCAAAGTATTGAATGAAGCCAATTATCAATGCAAGCAGCCGATGACCAATGCATATGAGAGCAAAGAGAATGAATATGGCCACAACTCCTAAACCAAGATCAGGAGGGGACAAGGGAAGCCAAGGCCGGACGCTTTGGAGAGGTACAAACAGCAGGAACAGCAGAATTCCAGTTGCATAAGATGCGAACATGCATGTGTTTTCCTTTGCCTAGTACGTGTGTGCGACGCATGTGTTCGTCTGTCCATTGCCAGGTGTGCGCTTGTCAGAATGAGCTTACACTCAGCCCGACTTTCCCACCAGTTTGTTGCTGTTTGTTTGATGAAGGAGACTGATTTCCTTTTCGTGAATTTCTGCGAAAACAAATTGGTCAATGCCAGTATGTGTGCTTAATGAACTTCAAATCAATCCCGCCATCAGCGTGCAAGCAACCAGCGAGTCGTACCATAACTGAAGATTCTGCAGTTCTTCGTCTGTTTTCCCTTTTGTCCCTGTTACCTCGCATATGGTTTCCTTGTTCCTTTTCGCAATTGACCTCGGAGGCTCGGACATTTCTGCAACTTCTGCTACCGGGACACGTCGGTAAATAATAAATATCATGCCCAAAAGAATTTTCCAACACCCGATAGACCTGCAGATTAGGGTACGAAACATTTCCTATGCTTCTGTA